TAGTAACAAAGGGCATCGCTACTAGGAGCAAGGACGCTACTAGGGGCACTTGGACTCGGTATGCACCTGCCCTACCGCTGTTGGCTCAAGCCGGGTTGACCCAGTTACATGTGCACATTCCACACACGCAGCTAAAAAGGTGCGTTCAGGGAGCCTGGTATCACAATAGACCATGTTCTACACACCACTAGTTGCATACATGCTTTAGGATCCTACCTCTGTTTCGAGTTGGTAGCGGAGCTCCTGTGTTGGTCTGGGGCGATGATGCTGCCGTTCGTTGCAGCCATGGTGATGTGCGCCGTGCTTCATGCCGGTGATGGCCCTCATCACCTTTCGTTCGACGCCGGCGATTGCCAACATCGCCTTTCGCATGCAGGTGGCGTCCAGTGCCACCATTCGCCGCCGGTAGGCCATGCCGTTCGCTTCGGTTCGTGTCCTTGTCTTTCGGTCCCGTTTTCGCCACCCGTCCCGGCTAGTGCATCGTGTCCAGGCGATGCCCCCGGAGACGATTCGGTTTGTCCCTGTCTTTTGTCCCTCCCGCATTCGCATTCGGCCAGTCTTTGTCTTCCGTGTACCGCCACGACAGCCATCCTGACGCCAGTCAGTGATGACGGGATTTGTCCATGTCTTTTCGTGCCGATCGCCAACCCCTCCAATACCACATCCATCGATGCCACAAGAACTACGAATGCCACATTCACCACAACAACCATTCGCAACGCCTTTCGCCATGTCCACATGATTGCCGCTCAGGCCACCAACGCAAGCAGTTCGATAGCTTTGATGACGGCCGCCGCCGTGACTCATTCGCTACAGCTGCATAAGGAATGCATCATGTGCCCAGAACTCCAATGGCTGTTTGCCGTCGCCGCCATGATCACTGCCATCCATGCCTTCTCCAGCAAGGCTACACCAAGGGTGCAGGTGACTGTTGGCCGCGTTCGATACAGCCGCCGAGTTCGTGCAGACTTCAAGAATGCAAGCATTGGCCATAGCCGTGTTGTGTTTGCCATGCTGTTGTTCGCGCAAGAGGTACAGGCATTCGCAGGTCCTGAGGTTGGCAGAGCAGTTGCGACAGTGTCGGAGCCACCGACCATGTCCGGCACTGAGGTGACACAGGCCATAACTAGGTCAGTGCAGGAGCCCGCAAGTGAAGCCAAGGGAGTCAGTGGTGCACCAACCCAAGCAGTGCCCACGGCCTATAGCAGATTCGTCCGTGCCGCAAGGCTGATCATCCCAGCGGCCATTGTGTGCATCATTCTGCTTATGTATCCCGGCAATGTAGCGCAATCCATGCGGATGCCTCCTGTGTACGATCCGAACGATCACACCCAGTCCTTCCGAGCTTGGAGCCAAGACCTGATGCTTTGGACCATCTCCAATGAACTTCAGCCGCACCAGCAGGCCGCCATGGTGGTGGCACAGCTGCGTGGTCCTGCTCGAGAAATGGCTAGGAGTATCACGCCTCAGGAACTGTACCACGGTGGCATGTACAATGGAGTCCATTTGGATCCAGTCTCATACATCCTTCAAGGGTTGGCATCAAGGTTCGCGCCGCTTGATGATGAGACTCGCCTCCGAGCTGCGCAAGAGCTCCTTTCGTTCCACCGTAGGCCGCATGAGTCGATTGATGGACTCATCACTAGGTTCGAAATCGTTCGCAGTCGAGCAAGGCAGGAAGGAGGTGGAGCAACAGTGTCCACCGAGACTGCAGCTCTCCTCCTGCTTCGAGCATGCAACTGCAATCCGGAGCAATTCCAAGCC